AACTCGAAGCTTCAGCGATGACATGGTCGATTTAAAAAGTGCTTTATTAGCACCTTCGATTCGCAAAATTGATGCGCTTGCAATTTCTTCATGCGTTTTGCCAGCTGAGCTGTTTTTCTGTTCATATTTTCGCTTCATCCTGATTTCTTAACTTGAATGGAGCAACTTAACGACGTGACTAGATTTGAATCATGTTGTTGTGCACGGGTCGAGAGCTTTCAACAAGTGATGGACATATCTGTCGATTTGAACGATTTCCTGACCTGCTGCTGTGATCTGTATAATACGGTAAGAGGGATCTTGTTCCTAAAATAAAGCTGGATTAAATTACATGGAACAAATTTTTGCCCTCGCGCGAATGTCACATTCGGTCGCGGATCTTCGCGAACTAAAGATGATTTGCGTGGATCAGGTCTTCAAATATTACACGTTTACTTCGTTTTGACATTCGAGATCCGCAAATTTGGGGAACTGAAAGACTTCAAGCAAGAGTTTTTGTCTTGTGATCGCACTGGGAGAATTTTTCGTCGCAAAAGTGCTCGCCGCAGCAAAATTTTTTAACTTATCAGGTACGGAATAATTTTAGCACCGCGGACGTGACCGAAATTCGGACAAATACTAAATTATTAACACTTAAGATATGGTGTTTACTGAAAGCTAAAGCTCTAATGCAAGGTGATTCTGAAAACATATCTGCTGGAAATTTTCGCTTGCATGTCCTTTTCTCGCCTGCGCTTAAAGACTTTTAGGAAAAGATGTAAAGGTTAAATTTAGCAGCTGAGATTAAATTATTCTGCACGCTGTGGTCTCGTGACAAGTCATCTGAATGTCAGTTTCATGATGCAATGTTGTTAATGGTTTGCAGCGATATATATTCGAATGCAGATGTATTGAGCTTGTCGCTGATTCAGAGTTGTTCTCTTTGTTACATGCAGGGTTGGGAGTTACAGAGCTCAAAAGCACCGAACAGTATGAAGATTGTATTGTTCGCAGACTTTGTATCCAGCAACCCCGGCCTTAACCAAGCTCAGTATGTTCTGAAACAGCTTTGCAACGAAGGACATCAAATAACACTATTTGGTAGGTACCCACCATTGCGCTTTTAAGGTAGTGATATTATTCCCTTTCGCTTCCGAAGGGAAAAGCCCCTTGTCTAATTTGTTATTCAAAGTTGGCCGTGATCCAACCCCCGACAGATAAACAATGGCTAGCTCATCAAAATATGCGATTTCGCCATAACTTCCTCGAATGGAACCTTAATTATGTGAAGGAAAAATAGATTCGCTAGTTCTAAGCCACATAATTTCGTAAAGTTGCGAAAATTTTGCCGTTCTCGGTAATTTCCTTACTAAAGTAAATAACATTTTGACAGCTTGCCATCTCACTCGATCGGTTTGTCTCCCAAAAACGTGATTGTTACACAAAAAGCGTGATTTTATTTTGTAGAGTTACATTTGCGGCAATCGATTTTGCGAAAGAAAGTAACTTTCTTTACGGCCTGAAGGTAAATCTGGTACTATGGAAATTTGGAAACGTCTGATATTTTATTGCCCAATCCGAAAATTGTTTCTATATCTGAAACGGATATGCTCCGTTGCCTGTGCGGACAGCTGTGAGATGAATGACAGCTTCTCATCTTGATTTATAGCTCCACAACTGTCAAACAAATTTGCAATTGCTAAATCGCTTTCTGAAAAAGCAGATATTTTTAGATTTCCTGTCATGTGAACGCTGTTTTTCAGAAAGAATTTTGATTCATTGATTTAACTGGTGATGTTTATCAAGACGATGGATGTTTTTTGGCTTGCCACGTATAGCGTGATGACCGGAAGTGGACTAGTATTTTAAAAAGTAAAATGACTGTGTATGCCTTCCGAGGGCATGTATGATATTTTTATATCGTTTCTAACATCGATTGTTTTGATCTTGTTTTGTAGAATGTGCCAATGTTAGTGTGCCATTGCTGATGTATGAAGACACACAAGCTTGCTTGTGCCAAATATACGAAGAGCCCCTGAAAGTGTTAGAAAGGAAAGTTGCTGAGGCAGATGCCTTTCTTCTGGTGACAGACAAACCTGGATTTCAGATCCCACCTTCACTTGCAACAGTGAAACACCACTTTAAAGGAAGCAAATGCACATGGAGACCGTATGGAGTACAGTGTGTTCTTCTTGGTGGATCTGTGCACAGTCGGAGAGTTGCTATGAGACTACGAGTGCTTCTCGAAGGGTCAGATTACCCTTACATGTCAGGTGTCCTTCCTCGGAGGTGTTCCTGGACTGAAATGTATGCAGTAGATCCTAGTCTTGAGACACCAGGACCTTGTGTACTATGAGATTGTTAGAGATCTCTAAGACTTTTTCGCTGATTGTTCTTACTTTTGTTCCTTTGTTATGTTAGTCTAAACGTAAGCTTGCTTTCTCAAAATTGTTTTGAAGTTGTAAGCTGAAAGGTTTAGTGTTTTCCTCATCCACTTAAAAAAGCAGTCGCTTTATGCACTTTGTTAATGTTGTCCATAGACATTCATAGAATGAAAAAAAGAAAAGAAAATCCAAAAAGATGTAAAAAGAGTACAATTTTAAGTTGTGGGTCTTGTATATAATATTTGGTCAGTTATACCATATTGGTAATAGTGTAAGATAGGAAGTTTTATTGAGAATTGTAAATAAAAGAAATACGTTTTATATTGCAAAAAGTGTGTGTTATAACATCAGAAAACCAGAGTGGGTGAGAAGGTACAAATTGGCTTACTTGAAGGGTGGGGTTGGGGGGAAACTGGAAAGGGAGTTAAATTTCAAACTCACAGGAAAATTAAAATATACACATCCACAGTACAGCTTTATCTTTTTCTCGGTTCCACACAAGCCTGCCCTTGCCAAAATCCGCTTGTTGGATAACTGATCCCCAGATAGTTCTTTTAGCAATGACCAGTTACTCATTAGTGTGTGTGTCCTTTGTTATAATCCCACAAGGCCACAAGGAATAGGATAATAGACAAATCGCAGGGTCCCTGAAGCTCATATTTTACCGAGAACAATCAAGTTTTGTCACATTTTCTTTTTACATGAACGTTTCTGAAGTTTGTACCTTCCTACACAGACTTGTTCTGATTTCAAGGGATTTTAAATAGTGAAAGTTTTCCAGGTGTCGACATTCTCCAGACACGGCAGGTTGAAAATGGTCTGCCTATTTTGAGACCAAAGCTGCTATTTTAGTATCTGACCACCCTGAGAGGCATACATGGTTGTATAGGTGGCCAATTTCCGCTTGGCTTGGCCTGACTTGGTTTGGTGATGTGCTCTTTTTAAATGTTGTCACACAAGGCACCGAGACTAAACAGAACGATGATTCCGTTTCATGCACGAATTTTAACAAAATTGATGCATCACTTTTACATAGAGTTAACAATGGAGTTTTTTAAATTCACGCTTCACGTATATGTTTTCGTTGTTTTTCACGTGTCACATAATAACTTTTGTCCTCAGCACGCATCACGTATAAAACCCTTCGCCACCCTCGTTCCAGGCATGACATTTCACACTTGCGAACACATACTGTGACTGGATTATTGCCAGCGATGACATTTTCCAGGCATATTGTTTCACACTTGTGACCATGGACTAAATGTGTTTGAGCGGGGACCATATTTCCAAATTTGTTCCTCCACAGTTCACCAAAAAAGTTATCACGGTTCGTGTAAGAAGCCCTGACTGACATCATTACATGTAATAGCGAGAAACAGGGAGAGTCAAAGCTCAAAAGATTAAATTCCTTACCTAGCCCTTAACATATAATTTACTTCTAAAGTAATGGGGGTAGTCCAAGTATATTGATCACAACGGTTACACTGAAAGCCGTTTGCGTAATAAACGTTGAAAACGTTTCGTCATGCATATTTACATTCCTAACACCAACGTTACAAGGAAGAAATGCGACAGAGATTTATCAAGTTTATTTAACAAAGGTATTAACTGTTATTTCATCATACATCTCATTGGGCCTTTAAAATGCAACTTAACCCTACTTTTGTAATTCCGGCGCGTGGGTTTACACTTTAGTATGTGCGCCTTGCGCAAGGCATTTGACGCCTGCCCTTCCGGTGTGTTTCATGCGATCGTGCGTTCGGAGTATGGTTTCATTGCAAAATCCGACCCTTTTTCGATGACGGCTGATCGATTGTCTTGAAGGCCTCTGTCTTTGCAAGGATAACAGGGTTTATAATGGTTATCTTGCTTGCTTTTGAAAACGCCGAGTAGGCCTTTGCATAATCTGTTGGTCTTGCACATTATCTCCTTTGGTTGTGCACGGCAAGGTTTAACGACTCTCTGTGGTGAAATAATTGGATTACACCACCATGGACCACAACAACATTGCGCGGGAGTTTTCAAAACACTTCAGTTTTAGCCAAAATTAGATCCGTAACAGCCCAAAACTTTCCGAAATCCTTGAAAAAGCCAACCCTAAACGACCATCCCATTAAACCGTAAACCACCCTTAACTAAACTAATTTTACGCATTTGATTAAAATCACATGGATTGTCCACAGAAGTTGTGGAATAACAAGTTGTTATTGAGCTTCATCCCTCAGTCCCTTCCCACGCAGGATATGGAGAGTTGACGAGATTTTAGTGATATTGAGACTCGTGATAGCGTGCATTTTTTATACAACAACAGAAACCTCCTTTAA